TTTTTCTCAAACCTAAATAACTCCTCCGACACCACTGAAACACAACAAAAGAGAAACTAAATCACAATCCAACAAAAAAACCTCGAATACACGCATTCGAATTTCACCAAATCAAGACAAATCACGTGGATGCGAATAAATAAAAAAGAAACAGTACCGAACCACTGAAGACTTGATCTGTAGCAAACCATAACCCAAAATGCTAGCGAAATCAGCACAGAAACCAGCGAGAACTGATTTAAAGAAAACCGAAAATTCTAGCTCCATCAAGACAAAGAAAAGTAGCAGAATCAGGACCAAGAATTAACCATAAAAGTTCGAAAAAACAGAACAAAAATTTTTGTTTCTCATGCGTTGTTGAGAGAAATAGAGATTCTCCACAAACAACCACAAACAATTGCTCCATAAAAGAAACAAAGAAACAAAACCAAAAACAAAAGAAGTCGACCTTGGTGGAGAGACAAGCACTTGAGGCAATGGCAATGGTTGTGACGGTGACGTGAGTGATGGTGGAGGTGATGGCGCCATGGATAGCGAGGATAACACCGGAAGAAGCAGCGGTGATGGCGTTTAAAGAAACAGAAATTGTGAATCTGCTTCTGCTTCATTATCTAAGCTGGGAGACACCCAGATCTGGGTTTGAGAACTGGGTTTTTCTCAAACTCAGATCTGGGTTTTTTTCAAACATGCATAAAGAAAAGCGCACGAACATTCATAGAAGCTGTGCAGTTGGGGCATGTCTTGGAGTTGTGGCCGTTGTAGCTGCAATGCGAGTAGCGCCGGCTCATTTTTGGGTTCGGGCTCGACAGATCGAGGAAGGGGCAGAGGGATGAGAGAGAGAAGGGAGGAAGAAGAAGAAGAATAATAATAATATAATAATAAATTATGTGGGTCTTTATTTAAATAAAAAAGCCACGTGTAAAAACAAAAATGCCATCTCATCAAATAACGTTACGTGGGTTTTCCATGTAATTATTAATTTTTTTAAAATGTAATTTTGTGGCAAGATAACGTGCCACTTGTCATTTAACTGATAGAAGGACTATTTTGGTACCGAAAATGAAAGTTTGAGGATAATTTTGGTACTTTTTAAAGCTGAGGGACAATTTTGGTACCAAAGTGGATAGTTGAGGGACCAAAATGATACTTAAACCTAATTTTTAATATAAATTAATTAAAAAATACATTTATTACACTCTTAACTTTATATTTT